AGAGAGCATATGTGTGTGTGTGTGTGTGTGTGTGTGTGTATGTGTGTGTGTGTGTGTGTGTATTTTTTGAGTTGGAGTCTCACTCTGCCACCCAGGCTGGAGTGCAGTGGCACACGCACGGCCACCGCAGCCTCAACCTGCTGGGCTCAGGTGATCCTTCCACCTTAGCCTTCCAAGTAGCTGGAACTACAGGTGCACGACACCACGGCTGGATAATTTTTTGATTTTTTGTAGAGATGAGGTCTCACCAAGTTGCCCAGGCTGGTCTCGAACCCCTGAGCTCAGGCAATCCTCTCGTCTTGGCCTCCCAAAGTGCTGGGATTGCAGGCTTGAGCCATGGTGCCTGGCAATATTTTTTTAAACATAAAATTTTTGTTAAAAAATGACAATCAGGTCAGGCGCAGTGGCTCATGCCTGTAATCCCAGCACTTTGGAAGGCCAAGGCAAAAGAATTGCCTGAGCCCAGGGTTTCGAGACCAGCCTGGGCAACTTGGTGAGATCCCATCCCTACAATAAATCAAAAAAATTAGTTGGGTGTGGTGACCCATGCCTGTAGTTCCAGCAACTTGGGAGGCTGAGGCGGAAGGATCACCTGAGCTCAGCAGGTCGAGGCTGCAATGGCCAAAACCATGCCGCTGCACTCCAGCCTGGACAAGAGTGAAACCCTAACTCAAAAAAAAAAAAAAGATGACAATCAAAATTCAAAGACAAAATGAATTGAGAAACTTGATTTTGGCAAATATGACAAGGAGTTAAGATATGAGGGTGTCCAGCACTTTAGGAGGTGGAAGCAAGAGAATAGCCTGAGCTCAGGGGTTTGAAGTCAGCCTGGGCAACTTGGTGAGACCTCATCTCTACAATAAATCAAAAAATTAGTCAAGGGTGGTGGCGCATGCCTGTGGTTCCAGCTACCTGGAAGGCACAGAGGTAGGGTTTTTAATGGATTTGTTTTTTTTAGTTGGGGTCTCACTTGTCACCCAGGCTGGAGTGCAGTGGCATGCTCATGACCACCATAGCCTCGACCTGCTGGGCTCAGGCAATCCTTCCACCTCAGCCTCCCAAGTAGCTGGGACTACAGGCATGTACTGCCACACCAGACCAATTTTTTGATTTATTGTAGAGATGCGGTCTCACCAAGTTGTCCAGTCGCATTACAGAGATTGCTTAGTAATCGTCTCACAAAACAGCTTACTTTAACATGATTTTTTTTTTTAGCTGGAATCTCACTCTGTCACCTAGACTGGAGTGAGTGGCATGCTTCTAGCCACTGCAGCCTCGACTTGCTGGGCTCAAGTGATCCTTCTGCCTCAGCCTTCCAAGTAACTAGAACTACAGGTGTCTGCCACCACACTTGGCTAAGTATTTTATTAATTGTAGAGACGAGGTTTCACCAAGTTGCCCAGACTGGTCTCAGACCCCAGGATTCAGGCAATCCTCTCACCTCTGCCTTCCAAAGTGCTAGGATTACAAGCGTGAGCCACCACACCCGGCAACATGATTGTTAATACCACATATCCCCATCACCCTCTGAAACAAGCAAACACCTAAATCAAAAACCATACATATAGAAATTTACAAAATAACTTCCCTCCCCTGCCCACCCTGTTCCCACAGGGGGACATAAGGCTCTACCTGGTCAGTCCCTGGGATCACTTCAAACACGCTTAGCTGGCTCCGGGTCTCCCGCATGTACCGCTCCTTCTCGGGACACATATCTGGGCACGTCCCAACAAAAGTCCTTGCCTTATCTAGATCAGTTCTTTTCACCCGAGCTAAATAATGTCAAGTAAAGGATAAGAATGTATCAGATGGTTAGTAGGGACCTACAGAAGTGTATTCTCATAATGATAAAAAAAATTAAAATACAGCCTGGGCAACTTGGCAAGATCTCATTTCTACAATAAAATCAAAAAATTAGTAGGGTGTGGTGGTGCATGCCTGTAGTTCCAGCTACTTGGAAGGCTGAGGGGGAAGGATTGCCTGAGCTCAGCAGGTTGAAACTACAGTGGCCGTGAGCATGCTACTGCACTCCAGCCTGGGTGACAGAGTGAGACTCCAACTCAAAAAAAAATTAAAATTAAAAAAACACAAATTACAAAGGAAAAGAAAAATATTTTTTAAACTCTGGGCCTCAGAAAGAGACTTCTGGTACAACCCACCAGGCAGTGGGACATCAAAGCTCAAGAAGATCCCTGAGGTCACCTCATCTCCAATAGTCACAGACCTTCAATGCAGACTAGAGATCGGAGAACATCCTCACATTAAGCTGGTATTTTGTAATTTTCATGATGACTTCAATGACAAACAATCATGATGTAAGATGTTTGCTAAAAGAATTGATTACAAAAGCAAATATTCAAAATATACCAGTATTCTAAAACTGTCACAGTATTCATCATGATTTTATTAAGAATGAAAGTTAACAGCATTCTGACCTGAATAAGTTAACTACTATTATTTCCTCACAGAATTACATAGCTATAAATGTATCTTTTTTTTTTTTTTTTTTTTGAGTCATGGTCACACTCTGTTGCCTAGGTTGGACTGCAGTGGCATAATACAGCTCACTGCAGCCTTGAACTCCTAGGCTCAAGCCATCCTCCCATCTCAGCCTCTCAAGTAGTTGGGACTACAAGTGCACCCCACCCCGCCCAACTAATTTAAAATTTTTTTGTAGAGATGAGGTCTCGCTATGTTGTCCAGGTTGGTCTTGAACTCCTGGGCTCAAGCAATTCTCTTGCCTTGGCCTAAATGTATTTTTTAAATGAAACGGAATATAACATCTTCACAATTCAAAATATACATATCTTATAATGAATTTTTATTCTAAATAATAAATTTTTATCTTGAAATATTCCAATATCTGATAGTAATTTTATTTGAAATATAAAAATGACCATGTCAGTGATACAATGTATGATGGCAGCTTTTATTACTGTGTTAAGAAAGCACTGTGCTTATTTTAATTATTCACAGCTTTTAAAAAAGGAAACTCTTGCAACTGAAATTTACAGAGTAGTGTTATTTTTTTCCTTTTACCAGGGGAACCCCTCCCCCCAAGAATTATTTTTTGGCAGGCAGACCACTTGCAGTGCAGGCTTCCCTGCTAGGTTAAGTGTTCTAGGAACCCAGCAGCTAGCATTGTTGAGAGGCTGTGTTTGGCTTCAGTGAATTTTTTCTGGAGAGTCTTGCAATGCATTTGCCCATTTCATGATGGGTGATTTACAAGCATACCTGTCCACACTGCACTGAATGTTTAGCAGTTTTCTGGGTTTTTCCCCCTCGTATTTTTGGTCACTGCAAATATATCTTTTACATATTGGAATACTTACTTTTTAAACAAGTAATACGTACACACAGTTCAACATTTCAAAGGCATATCCAAAACGGAGCATTCCCTCACCACTGCCCTTCAGACACCCATGCCTTCTACCCACAATGTGGGCAGATTTGCCTGCATCTTTCCCTGACCACATTATGTATGCAAAAGTGTATTTCCAGATATATAGAGGGTGCCAAAAAAAAAAAAACATAGACACATTTTAAGAAAGGAAAAACTGTATAAAGTTGTAATATTCAATATATGTAAATAATAAAGGATAAATACAAGTCACATTTGACTTCTGCAATTACAAGAGGTGCTCAAAGAGGTTGCCATCAGTGTACAGACACTTCTGATTATGGCAAACTAAAAGTAATACATTGTTGGGTGTGGTGGCTCATGCCTATAATCCCAGCAGTTCGGGAGGCCGAGATGAGAGGACTGCCTGAGCCCATGGGTTTGAGACCAGCCTGGGCAACATGGTAAGACCTCATCTCTACAATAAATTAAAAAAAAAATTAGCTGGGTATGGTGGTGCGTGCCTGTAGTTCCGGCTACTTGGAAGGCTGAGGTGGAAGAATCACCTGAGCTCGAAGAATTACCTGAGCCCAGCAGGTCGAGGCTGCGGTAACTGTGAGTGTGCCACTGCACACTAGCCTGGGCGAAACAGTGAGACTCTAATTAAAAAAAAAAAAAGGAATACACAGATAACACCTCTTAAAATGTGTACACATTTTTTTGGCATCTCCAGTATATATTCACACACATAACACTCACTCCCAAGGAACACTGGTAGACAGAAAGATCAGATGCAGCACATCTGATCTTTGAGGCCCTGAGGCTCAACAGCAGTAGAACCCAAGTGAAAGGAATGTTCCCTTCCTGATGACTCCCAAGAAGACAACCTAACCAGGGACCCTGGGAATCTGCCACTATGCATCATACCTTGCCTCATGACTCTGTCTCTCTGGTCGAGCAGGCGGTACTTCTCCTCAGACGTCTCAGCCACGGTGCCAATCAGGGTACTGAGGGATGACACACACTGTCCAAGACCCTCAGAGCTCTCAGAGCCTGAGTCAAAAGGGTCTCCCTCAAACTGGTGGGCCTTTAGAAGACTTGGCTTCTTCACTGGAGAGCTATACAGAAAACAACACACAAAGGGCCCTTGTGTGGATGAGGCTTTTATATCATTTCCATGTCTGAGCACATACCCTCATCTTTTAAGATTTTCTGGTCCTCCAAAGCTGAGAAACTACAAACACTGAAAACAGATGAGCCTCAATAAAGCTGGTGATGAGCACAGAAGCATGGTTCATTGTATTCACTATGCTGAATTTTTTTTACTTTTAAAAAATGCAAAGAATTCATTAATCAGTTAAAATGAATACTTACAGATTTCTCTCTCAAATGAAATTCAGCCTAAAAAGAATCCTTTAATATCATAAGGAAAACACTATGTCTCTGTGTTTTAATACAGAAATTAATTTTGGCTGAAGGGCATACTAAAAAGAACTGGGCATTCTCTCTCAGTGCCCCCATTTTCTAGCTGGCTTTCATCATTTTCTGAACTTATATGTCAAAGAAGATACAAGATTAGATGAATGAGAAAGCAAAAAGCAAAAGCAAACTAACAGCTTAACTGCTAATCACAAAATGAAAAGTGAGGAAAACAATACATTGGCCAAAAGACAAAGGTCTGTCAAAGCAGGTTTGATGGGAAATGGACAAAAAAGCCTTTGAGACTAAAGTTCCTTGTGCAGACCAGGCACTGTGGGAGTGCACATCACATGCAAGCTAACACAGCTCAGAGTGTCTACTTTCCTGCAATAAGCTGGACCTACAGAAATGTCATGTTAGAAACTGCTAGAAGTAATCAGGAACACATGGTTACTGTAGCAGTCAGACATCATAAGGGAAAGGTACTGCTTATACATGTATGTGTCAAATAACTGGCATGTCTGCATGGCATACAGGCTGAGCAAGGTGAGTGAGACCTGTTCTGCTTCCTGTAAGGCAGATGATGGCTGGTCACAGGGCATCGCTCTCTGTGCACAGACAGAAGCTCTGCTGTCCTAAGTGAGCAGCCTCCCCTAATGAGAAATGACCCCAGGAACTCCTGTAGCTGTGGCTAAAAGGTGGAGGCCAGCTACAGGAACTTTGGGATGAAAGCCTCCCAGATAAAATGCCTAGGTGAAAAAGACCAGCCATAAATGAGAGCTTTCTCAGCAACCTAAGCCCCAGGGCATGTGAGAATGAGACGGGCAGAATCAGCACTGCTCCATTATCTCCACAGTTGGCAAGTGCGGACTCAGAAAACTCACTCTCCAGGTCTCTGGTTGGGACCTAGAGTGGATTCAGAAGGACCCCCTGCCACTCCACCCCAAGAGTCCCTGGCAACTGGCTCTTTTCTCCTTACCACACCCCTCCCTGTCAGATATCACAGTATTGCTCGCCTTCCCATTGGTCCTTCCTAAATGTGGTCATTAGGAGGGACCAGCCCCACCTTTTACTCAGGAGGCTGCCAGCTACAGCCCTCCCTGAGGGCTTGCCAAGAGGGGAATGCTGAAAGGGTGCGTCCTCTGTGCCCTGGCTGGCTTCACCATCACCTGGTTTCTTCTCCTTCAGGGAAAAGGGTTTTTTGTTGGGGCCTGAGGACAAAGGAAGCAGAAAAGAGTTTATGTTTCATAGATCACCTGAAACTCAACTTTTTCACATTCTTTTGAAGAAAGTCATATTCTTGTAATTCTCACAGGATGATACAAAAGATTTCTCACGGAAATAATGATGAGACACAAGGATCTGCTCAGAGACAGCCTCCCCCACAGGCACTAGGGAAAGGGCTCACACCCACAAGGCCTTGCACACAGAGCATGAAAGATTGTGGAGAGAATAATTGAAAACTCACTTATTTTCTTCTTGTGCCAAAAGATAGCCATGTCTTTATGCAAGCCTTTACCCTTCTTTCTAGCCAGGGCTGCAGATGCCTGAAAAACAGTTCACAACCACCAAGTATGAGAATATCAGCAGACCAAATGAAATGAGACTGAAAACTCAAATGCAGTGAGCACACCATTCAAGAGTACAAGGAGCTGCTGTTCTTTGTACAACAAAGTGATACCACTACAAGTTCCGTGTTCTGCCCACAAGTATGTATTTGCTTCTTCGTTTTTTAAAACAACAACTTAGCTGTGATAGAAGCCATAAACTTGGCCCCTTTGGCATCTGATAAAATGATTTTCACCAGTTGATTACATTCACAGAAATAGAAAGATTGCCAAGTCACACTTAAGCACAAAAGGAAGATGCAGGATAATACACACAGGATACCAATTATCACAAAACACACACACAAAACCAACTACATGTTAGTAGGTCTATAGATATACTTATAAAAATGTCTAATGGCTGGGCACGGTGGCGCACCTCTGTAATCCCAGCACTTTGGGAGGTCAAGGTGGAAGGATTACTTGAGGCCAGGAGTTCAAGACCAGCCTGAGTAACAGAGCAAAACCCTACCTCTACAAAAAGTTTTAAAAAATTAGCTGGGTGTGATAATATGCATCTGTAGTTTTAGCTACTCGGAGGCTGAGATGGGAAGATTGCTTGAGCCCAGGGAGTTGAAGTTGGAGGCTACGGTGAGTTATGATTACACCACCATACTCCAGCCTAGACAACACAGCCAGATCCTGTCTCTTAAAAAAACAGGAAAAAGTCTAGAAAAATATATACCACACTAGGTAACAGGGGAGATGAAGGTGTTCAGATTCATCTGTATCAATAAATTGTTTGGCAATGTATTTACATATTAGATACAAATAAAACAAAAATGCAATAAAAATATTTAAGGTTCAACTGGAAGAATAAGCACATTGCAATACAGGAAAAAACAACTTTACCTACTTATTTTTGAGTTGGAGTCTCACTCTCTCGCCCAGGCTGGAGTGCAGTGGCACACTCATGGCCACCCTAGCATCGACCTACTGGGCTCCGACAATCCTTCCACCTCAGCCTGCCAAGTAGCCAGAACTACAGGCGTGCACTACCACACCCGGCTAATTTTTTTTAGTTGTTGTAGAGACAAGATCTTGCCAAGATGCTCAGGCTGGTCTCGAGCCCACGTGCTCAGGTAATCCACTCACCTCAGCATCCCAAAGTGCTGAGATTACAGGCTGAGCCACCAAGTCCGGCCAAAAACAACTTTAGAAACAAATAAGTTTTAACACTGAGACTGCTAAAAAAGGAAAAATATACTTCTATATTGTTAAAATATATTTAAAAAAAATTAAGATCAAATAAGCTGGTTACCTATAAGATTAAAAAAAAAAACAAAAAAGATATAGATTATCATATAACTCAGCAATTCCACTCCCAAAACTATACCCCCCAAAAATGAAAAAACAGATTCTTGCATGCCAAAAAGCATTATTCACAATTGTCAAAAGATGGAAACAATCCAAGTGTCCATCAATAGATGAATGGATAAGCAAAATGTAGTCCATCCAAACAATGGGATATTATTCATTCATGAAAAGGAATGAAGTTCTGATACATGCTATAACATGGACAAACCTTGAAAGCATTATGCTAAGTGAAATAAGCCTAACACAAAAAGACAAATATTGTATGATTTGGTCGGGTGTCGTGGCTCACACCTATAATCCCAGCACTTTGGGAGGCGAAGGTCAGAGAATTGCCTGAGCCTGGGCAACTTGGTGAGACCTCATCTCTACAATAAATGAAAGAAAAAAAATTGTATGATTCCATGTATAAAAAATCTAAAATAGGCAAATTCATAGTGGTAGAAAGTAGATTAGAGGCTATGAGGGGTGGGAGAAGGAGAAATAGGAAGTTACTGCTTCATGGTTATAGAATTTCTGCTTGGGATCATAAAAGTTCTGGAAATAAACAGTGGTGATTATTGCACATCATTGTGAATGTAGATAATCCACCGAATTGTTGGGAAAACAATCAACAGGAAGGAATAAATAGCAAAAGCCTAAAACTATGAGTACAGTTGTCCCCTCTTGTCCTCAGGGGTTAAATTCCAAGACCCCCAGTGGATGCCTGAAACTTCAGATAACACTGTACCCTATATGTATTATGTTTTTCCTATATATAATGCTTATAATAAAAGTTTAATTTATAAACTAGGCACAATAAGAGATTAACAACAATAATAAGACAGAACAAACCTAGGCAACATAATAAGACTTCATCTCTACAAAAAATAAAAAATAGCTGGGTTTGGTGGTGAGTGCCTACAGTCTCAGCTACTCCAGAGGCTGAGGCAGAAGGATCACCTGAGTTCAAGGGGTCGAGACTGTGGTGAGCTGTGATTGTGCCACCACAACAGAGTGAGACTCTGACTCAAATAATAATAATGATAATAACAATAATGAAATAGAACAATTATAACAATATACTGTAATGAAAGTTATGTGGCTATGGTCTCACTCTCTCTCAAAATATCTTACAGTATGTAATACTTTTAGACTAAAGTTGACTGAAGATAACTGAATCCCTGGAAAGTAGAGGACCAGTATATATTTTGGCACAAAATTTCCACTCAGTGCTATAAACAAAGAACATAAACTAATCAGAAATATACGCATAAAATGTCTAAAAATACAACAATGGCTAAGTAAGTGAGTAAACAGAATAGAATGTTACATAGCACTTAACAATGTCATTCTAGTCTAGGCTGTTTACTGATTTCAGAAAATACTAAAGATTGTTACATGAAGAGGTTATCAAAACAGCAAATGCAGTGTGATCCTATTTGTGTAAAGAAAACATGATTAAAAAAAAGAAAAGAAAAAAAAAGAAAACATGATTACATATTTGCAAAGACATTCACTAAAATATTCATAGTTGATATTTTAGAGGGCAAAACTATAGATAATTTCATGTTTTCCTCAATAGGGATTTCTGGGTTTTTTTTCCCTACATTGATAGGCAATGCTTCTATCATTAAAAAAAGTTAAGAAAGCCGGGCTTGGTGGCTCAGCCTGTAATCCCAGCGCTTTGGGAGGCTGAGGTGAGTGGATTGCCTGGGCCCACAGGTTTGAGACCCGTCTGGGCAAACTGGCGAGACCTCATCTCTACAATAAATAAAAAATTAACCGGGCATGGTAGCACGCACTTGTAGTTCCAGCTACTTGGAAGGCTGAGGCAGAAGGATCGCCGGAACCCAGCAGGTTGAGGCTGCAGTGGCCGGGAGTGGCCACTGCACTCCAGTCTAGGTGACACAGTGAGACTCCAACTCAAAAAAAAAAAAAAAGTTAAGGAAAATGTTTTCTACTTTATAAACTCCTGTAGACCTTAATCTTTCCAAAAGACTATTCAGAAAAAAGAGTAAAGATATAAAGTTGCATCACACAAGCAGTCCATACACACATACACTACAACTGATGTGTTAGGTGCATATTTAATGTCACAATAATTTAACAGTAGTTATCTCTGGACACAGGATTCCAAGGGGTTTCTGTATTAGTTGAATGTTTACAGTGCTCACGTACTATGACTAAATAAAACAAAAACAAAACCAGAAAACGCAAGTTTGAAAAGTGCTATATGGTCAAAGCCACTAAGCATTCAGAAAAATGTGACTTCCAACATTTCTAGAGCACTGCATTCTCCAGGGGCCAGAAGCTTTTCACAAACAACTCCAAGTTGTGAAATAATCAAGTAGTGCTATCCCAGCCTAAGTTAAGAACAAGGTATTTGAGTATATTACAGCAGGTAAATTACAGCAAGTTATCTGAGTATATTACAGCAGGTAAATTACAGCAAGTTATCTGAGTATATTACAGCAGGTAAATAACTGAGAGATTAAAAAACAGGTGTTAAAGTGACAAAGTTCAAATCCAGGGTAACAAGCAAGGTGGAAGTACTCACATGATCAAAGAAATGCACCACAGCAAGCTTTTTGCTGCGCCGGGTAAAGATGCGCTGCACCTTAGCAATTTTGCCAAAGTGGTTCTCTAGAATGGTTCTGTCATTGAGATAGTCGGGTATATTCTTGCACTGGATCGCTGTTACTTCATTGGGAGACAAGCCCCCAAGACTGTCTGTGCTCTCACTTCTTTTACTCTGACGCATAGGAGTCCCTCTTAAAGGATCTAGGGGTTCAGAAAACAAACACATAAACTCACGAGATGTAACACTCAAACAACAAGAGGTACTGTGTCAAAGCAAGGAAATTTTCATAGATGTAAGACCTACTCCAAGGGCCTATCATGTTATAATTCCCAATAGGGGCTTTATCAGAAATATCAAGCTAATGCCCAGAGAAACTGAGAACCTACCAGTAGGAGTTGGTACATTTTTAGAGCTCACCTTCTTTTTTATCTCTGCTTTCAGTTTCTTCCTCTTTATTTGCACCTGGAAGCCGGGACGGTGCTAGGACAGACTGACTCCCTCCTGTGATGGTCATATGGTCACTTTCCCCAGACTCAACAAAACTAATTTCCTTTTTAGACTCCTTGTTGCCCAGACGACCTACTTCTTTATTGCTTTTGAAAACATCCTGTATTGTCCGACCAAACAAATTGCCTGTCCGAGGTCGATTAAGGCGGACCGGTCGTTTATCAGGAGGATGGTCTCCCCTGGACAGAGGGTCTGAATCTTCTGCTATTTCATGGCCATGTCTCCTTGGGGAGCGATCCTGGTCCTCCTTCCTTTTCAGTCCTTTCATGAGGGTGGAAAGTGGCTCCATCTGCGAGACAGCTTCTTCACAGCTTTGCCTGACTCCTGTTTTGCTGACTGGGAAGGGTTCACCCAAAGCCCCAGAAGATGACATAGGGAAACTACTGAAGCTGCTATTAGAACTTCCAAGTATCGATTTAGGTACTCTCTTCTCTTCCTCTATATTTTGACTTGGCAAAGCAGGGGTAAAGGCAGATAATGAATTATTACTATTAACTGGTTTTGAAAAGGTAAAATTTGAATTGGCAGCTGAACTACTTGTCACCTGAGGGAAAGAATAAGAGGCAAGACCTCCAGGTCCACTACTAATTGGATGAGAAAAAGTGAAAAACCCAGAAGAAATCTGGCCCTGGGTTTTCTCTGGTTCAGATTCAGCCCCCAATATTGGTCTGAACATTGCATTTTCCAGAGGCTTAAAACTGAATTCTGTTTTCCCAAAACCAGAGCTCACTATTTCTCCAGCTTCCGATCCAAAAGCAGAAGTATTTGGGAAAGCCCCAACATTGGTGGGTGACTTAAAACTAAATCCTGGGTTTCCGGGCACAGATGAACTTGAAGCCCCGGAGGTAGCTACAAAGGTGGAAGTGTTTTCAAGTCCAGAAAAGAGTCCAACACTTGAGGTTTGGGTGAATCCTAATGTTTGCACTGAAGAGGAATGACTTACTCCAGAAGATGGTGGAAAGCTGGATACCTGTGAAAATCCTGAGTTCTTCCCAGATAATGTATTATTTTGTCCAAAAAGAGAAGGTTGACCAAACTGAAATGGCGACTTCGTTGGAAATGCTCCCATGGAGCTACTAGAAGATGCTGGAAAAGCACTAGGCTGCTGCCCATTGAAAGGATTCATTGGGTTCATCTTCTGATCCAATTATTATAAGGTAATAGTATTATGCATGCAAAATTAGTCCTCTTCCTTAAGCAGTCTGCAGTATCAGGGAGCTCCCTTCCACTTCAGGAAAAGCTGGAAGACAAAAATTCAGATCACAGCTATGCTCTCTTAGAAGAAGAAGAAGAAGAAGAAAAAAAAAAATATATATATATATATATATATATATATATATTTGAGACAGGGTTTCACTGTCACCAGGTTGGAGTGCAATGGCATTATTATAGCTCACTGCAACCTCGGACTCCTCTGTTCAAGTGATCCTCCTGCTTAGCTTTACCGAGTAGCTAGAACTACAGGCATGCACCACCACACCCAGCTAATTTTTCTATTTTTTATAGAGATAGGGTCTTGCTATGTTGCCCAGATTGGTCTGGAACACCAGGTCTCAAGGGATCCTCCCGACTCTGACTCCCAAAGTGCTGGGATTACAGGCGTGAGCCACTGCACCAGGCCAAGAAAAGAATGTTTGATGTTTTATCAGTGCCATACTCTAAGAATAATTATTTAAAGGTAGGCCAAGGATTCAGCATTATATTCCAAGAGTCAATACGTTCTTTCGTTGGAGGGTGGCGTCGAGATTGGCACAAACAATTGCTTTGTTATGGAAGTTTAAAGCCTGATCCTTTAAGATTTAAAAAAATCGAACCAGTTCACTGAGTTTGTGAATTCACTAAAAATGTGAGTTGGCAATTTAAAAAATTAACAGTTACACCTTTCAATTTAGAGAAATTCCTCCTGACTTTTTGCAATCTCCATAGCCAGAGAACGACAATGTAACACTGTTAAAACATTCGTGTTTCACTGTTTCCTCCCCACCCCCCACTTTTTCTCCGACTAACAGAAGCACTAATAATACTTTTTCCCCGCATGGAAACACTGTTTTGTCATACCCTTGACGACCGCCCCAGAACCGGATCCCAGAACCAGAGATTCGCGAGATGCCGCCTCTTGCCGTAGAGGTCTCGCCGGACTCAGCCTGAGCAGCCTCCGGAGGCCAAGGCGCCGCGCCTGGTCCAGGTCACCCCCGCTGTCCCGCCCAGCTCTGTTAGCGACGGTGGGTAGGGGCCGGGCGGGCGCGCAGAGCTGCGAGGAGAAGGAAGCGAAGCCTCCGGAGCCGGACTTGCCGGGCCCACGATCACCGTTTGACAGCAGGATCCCTAGGCCCGCAGTCGCCACATCCGGCCCTCGACGCGGGCTAGAAGCGTAGGCAACCGCCGCGGCCGCGGAAACCAACGCTGCGCTGCGCAAGACGGGCGGAAAACTCGGCGGACCAACTTCCGGTCCGTTTGCAATGCCGGGTTCCGCTCTCCCGGCCCGGTGGCAGCGGCGTGACTTCCGGTGGAGTGGCCACGCCCCGTCTCGCGGCTTTCCCCCAAGTCCGAATACGGGTAAGTGCGCAGACAGGTTCTTCTCCAAATTGAGAACTTGGTATTCTCCGGTGTGAGACCGCCGGTGCCCGGGCTGATTGGTCCCTTGGGAAGCGTCCAGACTCTACAGGACCCCTCTTTATACCCCTACTCTCAACGTGTCCTTCTTCCTCCTTTCCATTGCCACAGTCCCTCTTCTACATCATTCACCTCCCTGCACCCCATACCACCCTGCCCCCTACCTCTTCCCGCCCCATCTGTCTGCCTCCACCCCATAGTACCCCCTCTCCCTAACTTCTCCCCCCACCTGTCGCCATCCACCTGCCTCCACCCCATATAGTCTTGCTCTCCCGCCTCTCCCTACCCCATACCAACTCTCTTCCCCCGACCCTCACTCCTAGCTCCCAACCCACCCTATTCCACCCATCCCTTTCACTGTGAAGGGCTCCTTCCACTGCACCGGCCTTAACTTCCTTCTGGCTATTGTTACTGATTTTGGTATGCCTGACTCCATGGCATATCCCCTCTTTTTTACTTTTTCCTTATGGTAAATGTAAATTCCCTTGATTTTCAATTAATTCCACCAAATAAAGTGATCTGATCGTGTGTGCATGTATTTTTACAGAATTTATTATTGCTTTCTTGTACTGATTGGATCATCTCTTAAAACTTTAACTACAGATACTCCTGCAACCATTTTTAAGGACCAAATTGTTCTACCTGAAATGAGTTTAGTGATTAAAAATCTGCAGCGAGTCATCCCCATCAGGAGAGTGCCACTTCGAAAGAAGATTGAGATCGTAAGGAGAATTTTAGGAGTGCAGAAATTTGATCTGGGTGTCATCTGTGTTGACAACAAGACTATTCAGCACATTAATAGCATCTACAGAGAGAAAAATGTTCCAACTGATGTACTTTCTTTTCCATTTAATGAGGTAAAAGATACGTTCTTGTCTAGCCTACCCTCTAGAATAAGTTTCCTGTGATAATTATATTACAGTCATGATTTTTTATTTTAAAAATTTTAAATATACACAAAAGTAAAACTGTTTAACGCTCACTGATCAGTGCCCATCACCCAGAGGCCACAATTCCACTGGTAGAGCCAACAGGAAAAGAAAGGTGACTGGAATCCACCCTCCTCTCCTCTGAATGCCATCAGTGAATTAAAAAAGAAGTAAGCTGGGCATGGTGGTTCACACCTGTAATTCCAGCACTTTGGGAGGTAGAGGTGAGAGGATTTGCCCGAACCCAGGGGTTCAAGACCAGCCCAGCCAATTTGGTGAGACCTCATCTCTACAATAAATCAAAAAATTAGTCGGGTGTGGTGGCATGCACTTGTAGTTCCAGCTACTTAGAAGGCTGAGGCAGAAGGATCACCTGAGCTTATCAGGTTGAGGCTGCGGTGGCTGTGAGAATGCCACTGTACTCCAGCCTGGGTGACAGACTGGGACTCTAACTCAAAAACAAATAAAAAGAGGGAGAGAAATAAAGTACTTCTGCAAATTTTAATGTGATTCATTAATGAATATTCATAGACTAGAAAAAATAACACTGGAAATAGAAGCGCATACTAGGGCAAATTTTCAACAAATATGTGATAGTGATCATGTTACTATCTACACTGTATAAATCAGCAGTCCCCAACCTTTGTGGCATCAGAGACCAGTTTAGTGGAAGACAATTTTTCCATGGACGGGGGTAGGGGAGGCATGGTTTTGGGATAATTCAAACACATTCCATTTATCGTGTAGATCAACAGTGTTAGATTCTGATAAGGAACACACAACCTAGATCCTTCACATGCACAGTTCACAATAGGGTTCGCAGTCCTATGAGAATCTAATGCCACTGCTCATCTGATAGGTGGAGCTCAGGTGGTAATGCCAGCAATGGGGTGTGGAGGTTCGGGCAATCCTCTCACCTCCACCTCACCATTCACCTCTTATTATGAGACCTGGTTCCTAACAGGCCATGGATTGATACCAGTCCATGACCTAGGGGTTGGGAATTCCTGGAATGACTCATTCTAGGCTTCCTACGTTGTAGTGGCATAAACTGGAGCAACCCTTTTAGAAAGCAATTTAGCAGTTTACTTCAAGAGTATTTAAAATACCTGTATTATTTAATCCAAGAAAACAAAACAAGTCAAAAGATAGAAGATAAAATTTTGAAAAATATTAAAATGTTCACTTCTTTTCTGTAATAGGAGAAAAAAATGAAAGCATCCTAAATATCCAACCATAGATGGCCAGGTTAGTGCTAACAGTCCTCCAGTGAATGGACTGATCTTTATAGTCTTTATGTGAGAAGTTATTGTCTTTATGTGAAAGACTTTTAGGACAAAATATCATGTGGAAAGAACAGAAATATAAAATTGTGTCCATGTGATAATCAAACTCTAGCAGTCAGGGATCTGTGTGATTCTGCATCAGAAGGGATGAAAGAAATTTAAAGTATTTTATTTGACAAGGTTGTGTCCACCTAAATGACAAACAGAGAGGCTCTAAAAGAAAAGATGTTTATTTGGGTCTAGAGCATTGCAATCGGAATATGCAGGCCATAGGAAACTATATGCATGCTCAGGGAGATAAAAACAGATTTTTTTTTTTTGAGTTGGAGTCTCACTATATCACTCAGGCTGGAGTGCAGTGGCACACTCACGGCCGCTTCGGCCTTCCAAGTAGCTGGAACTACAGGTGTGTGCTACCATACCCAGCTAATTTTTTTATTTATTGTAGAGATGAGGTCTCGCCAAGTTGCCCAGGCTGGTCTTGAACTCGTGGGCTCAGGCAATCCTCTCACCTCAGCCTCCCAAAGTGCTGGGATTATAGGTGTAAGCCACTGTGCCTG